TCCTTTGTTTCAAGACTATTCAAACGTTCGTATTATACTATGGTTGTAGGAAATAGTTAGCAGATGTTCATGAACGATATAGCTTTGGTCTGTAATCAGTCTCCTGTGCAAATTTATCAATTTTTTCGTGAAGATGAAGTAGTAATGGTAGCCTGGCTTTCCAGATTTTTGGGGGTGGGGTGGGGTGGGGAGTGGGGAGGGTGCTTGTCTTACTCAGTTCATTGTGTTATTACTGCCCCTCAAGGATGGCCACTTGCGTGTTGTACTGAGTGTTAACTTTTCCAGTCAGCTGTGAATGTAAAAATTACTATCTGTGAGGGTTTCCCCTTCTCAGTGGTCTTGCCATGAGTGGACATGATCAGAATATCTGTCTCAAAGTGAGTGTAATTTAACATGAAGCTGGATTTCCGAACAATTGTAAAAGGGCCCACCTTGGTGGGCCTCACGGCTTTTAGAGACCTGGTTGGGGGTGGTTAAGAGGGTCTTCTGCAGGGAGAAGGTATAACAGACCAGATGTGAAATGTTTACAGGTCCCCCCACACCTTTCTTACGGAGCCCTGAGCATAAGGACAATTTAGGCAGAAATGTAATGTGGATGCTTTAGACCCCAAATATGTACACCACCTTCCCCACCCCTCCTTCAGATCAGTAGCCCGTATTCTTCTCTGACCCTCGTCCTGAGTCAGACTTGACTTAGATCATGAAATGCAAACTCTGTCTCTGTGTTTTCCTAGCAGATGGGAGGTACCTCTGGCAGTAATTAAGAGATTGAGAAACTCTTTGGGAAACTGTATTGGTGATGGTGACGTGAACTTAGGTTGCTGGAATGGTGCCCTATTCAACCCTTACTTCACCTGTCTGAGCAAAAGCCGCAGACAAATGCAAATCTTCTTGGTGGTGGCCTCCTGTCACTCCAGCCATCTCCGCACCTGAGTGCTTATCCAGCTGTGACGCTCTCACACAGTGTTCTGTCCCCACCTACTTGCCTCCCAGCCCTCAAGGGCAGCCAGACCCTACTCAAAGTACTGTTCGCCCTCCCGCCTTCACATGTGCCTCAGCTCCTGGGCCCACAGTCAGCGGGGTGCATTTCTCATGCCCTGTGTATTTGAGAGTTATCTGCCTCATACTTGCCCCTAGGTGGATGTTTCCAGGAAGGAACCAAATAAATGAAGTAAAAATAAATGCTTAATTGTGGTCAGCCCATCCTAATCTATTTTTCATCTTTGCCTTTGTCTCACGTTGTATATGCCTGTCTTCTTGGACTAAATTCTGATTTTGCGAGAATCAGGCTCTAGCATTGTATTAATAGAACAATAGTAGTCACCTTCCAAATTCAGAGAACAAAAAGAGCATGTTAGCCACAGGAAAAGGAAGTTTTTCCATGCATGGCTTCAGCTGGAGAACTGAGAGGAGGGTGTCCTTTGGTGTTCGAGCACAGGTGCAGGGAATGGCTCCCATTTCTTCCTGAAGAATGAAGTCCAAAGAATGTACTTGGGATGGAATGAAGCTTGAGTTCATAATTCTTCAGTTTCATTTTTGTGGTCATATACCAGTACCCCATAGGCTAAAAACTGGAGATAATTCTTTATAAGATCTCATACTTGGAGGAGGATGAGTAGCAAGTAAGAAATTTCTGCTGCAGGAAAAGTGGTGTTTCTGTTTTATCTGGTCAGACGTCATCTGTATCTCCCTTGGGTGGCTTTTCTTGGCGAAAAAAAAAAGCAAGGCCAAATCTACTTGGTCATGCAGTGAAAAGGAAGGAGCCTTTATTTTGCCCAAGTGGAACTGTCTCCACTATTTTTTAACTTTATGGATTGAGTGAATAGTAGGTGTAGTCACAAACACCCGGAGAGCCTGTCTAACCTGGCTGCCCATAAATGTCTCCTTTCTTCATCGGCAGAAAACCTTGTGTTACCTTATGACACAGAGGTCAGCTTGGCGTTTGGCACCAGTTGTCATTATTATTGTGAGCAGTGCCAGGTGCTGTGGTGATCTAAGCGGCATATACTCATAGTTCCTGACCACCTGTGGGGTTAAGTGCAGATTTTAATTCATTTACTGGGAATCGGGTACCTCAGTAATGAGAGTAGGTGACTGTCACAAATACCAGGAACAAATAGCATTGAGATTTGTTCTTTCCTCTACCTTGGAAAAGTTATCTATGGAGCCTCCCACTGGAGTCTCGGGATTTCAAAAATATTAATATATGCCAGAATCTCATAGTCTCAGATTAAATGCGGTAGAAAATGTTCCATTACCCTTAAGAATGTTAGCAAATTTATTTCTGAGGCTAAGACCCTGCTTCCGAAGCGTAGAGAATGATTTTGTGTACACATGGGAATCTCTCTTGCCCTGTGCTTTATGCTTTTGCCCTATTGGGGTCATTCAATGTTTACATGTTTAAAGCTTTTTGTTTGATTATTGAGAGAGATTCAGAAATGTTGCTAGGCTGTTACAGTTTTAATAACCTGTCTAACTTTATGTTGAAGATAAAGAGGCTAAAGAGATGCTTTCAGTTGCAAATTCTGCTTTAATTGCTCATGGTCTCCAATAATTTAACGTTTTGTGTAATATACTCCCAGTACCTTAAACATGGCAAACTGTTCAGGTTCTGAGGCAATTTGATTTTACCTTCTCTTCTTTAACTTGCTTGTGTATTCATAGATGAAATAGCCTGTGTTTTCTTTCACTCTGCATTGCATTCATAAAGACTCATAGGGCAGCGCCTGTGGCTCAAAGGAGTAGGGTGGCTCCATATGCCAGTGGTGGCAGGTTCAAACCCAGCCCCAGCCAAAAACTGCAAAACAAAACAAAACAAAACAAAAGAATCATCTATTTGTAAAGATTACAAATCTTTATAGAGAAGTGAGCAAATACAGGATGACTGTAATGGAAACTTGTTTATATATTGACCAAGTATTTTTCATTTGGGGGTTTTATTTAAACATTTATTTTTCAGGTTTTTTTGAATCGCATTTTTGAAATCACATTTCCACCATTTTGATAGACTTTAAATAACTGAAACAATAGTGAGGGGTTTTTTTTGTTGTTTGTGTTTTTCTTTCTTTTAATTTTGCATGTTGTGGTGGTATACTAATTCTCTGTATTTCTTAGGAAAATTCAATTTTAAAGGTTTTCTTTAAGAAATATCATTTTCTAAATTTAGTTTTAATTCAGCATCTTTCACTAATATTCCTAGGTGAATTTCATTTGGTTATTATTTGTATTGGTACACATTTTTAAAATTTTATCTACATATATAAACATTAATAGTTAAATATGTTGATCTTTATAAATGATTTAGATCAAATACTAAGTATGAAGAAAATATAAATGACAGTTTTTGTAATAACTTAAATTTCAGTTAATTTGCTTAAATAAGTTTGCTGAGCTTTCCAGGATAGAAATCTGTCATTTATAATTTCTTTCGTGAACATCAGCAAGTTAATATATTTAATATTTCTGTAGTGAAATAAAGGAGACATTAATTTGAACACTAAATACATTATACAGTGTCTTTGAAAAGCAATCAGACTATCTGATTTAATGATTATGCATTTAATAGGTCGAATACATTTCTTCATAGGTGAGTCGATAATATCACAATCCACCTTCCTAATTAAGTATCAAGGGTCTATTCTCATTTAACAGACTCTTTAAGGCTGAGTAAACATGCTCTTAATTAAACTCACAGATAACGCTAGAGCATGTTGATTGCTGGAGTAAGGAAAATAAAATGATTCAGCTTGACCTTAAGAGATGATGAGTACGGGAATGTTAACAAATGATGAAAAGCAGCAAAATTCTAAGATAGGGTGAACTCCCAAGCCAATATTTCTGATAAAAGTTGGGTTTGGTTTTGAAATGTGTTATTGGAATATTTAGAAATTCCCCTTTCAAATATTTTGTACATGCCCAGAGATATGTCAGCTATAGGAGCGAGGTGAAAATGCCTATTTCAGGAACGTGGTATAATAGAGTCCATCTCAAATGAGGAAAGCATTGCAATAAACTCTTCCTGGTGGCCGAGGCCGCATGGTATAGGAGGACAGGCTCACAGAGCCCTGAACCCTGTTGTAGGTAAATTACATGAGGGAACTTGTGCAGGTTTTATCCCCTGCCCTTTTCTGAGCACTGTACTGATAACAGAGAATGAAGCGTTAATCTGTGTTGGAGAAAAGCAAATTAAGATAACATCCACTTCACCATCCACTGGTTTCATATTTGCCTTATTCTTTGAAGCTCGTGACTATGACTTCAAAATTCAATTAGCCATTTTATAACTTCCTACTAGCAGAAACAGGAAAAATATAGTTGCCTCGTACCCACGTATAGCAAATGATTTCTACTCATTGGGTCCTCTATAAAACCAGCAGCTAGCATGCCGGTGAAAAAGGACCATCACTTTTATCTTAGGATCCTGGAATCTGTTTTCATGATCCCCAAACATTTACCTTAAAAAGGAATTTATGAATGCTGTATACAAGATGAAAAATGAAGGAGGGCTGAAATGCATTTATCTTAGACATCAGCTGTTCTGTTGACAAAAAGCTGAAATGTGAAATTTGTCTAAATAATTAGATTTTTAATTAGTGCATCATTGTAAGATTAATGTCATTGCGCTTCATTGCATGTAATTTTGTGTTAGAAATTTTATGTCAACAAAGACGCTACCTGTGGTTTGCTGATTTGAATTCTTAATTTGTCGCTCGTATGCATGGCATGTCACATATTTGCAGTCAAGAGCGCAAAGAAGGCAATTGATTATCGCTCCACCGGTGGTGAGGAGGGTTGGTGATGTTATACTATATGAATACATTATACTCTCTAATATTCAAGAGGCAGCTACCCCTCAAATATTAGTGAATGCATAATAATTGGCATGTTAACAATAGCATGAGCAGATAGGTGGGTCAGCCTAGTCTGCGCTGACTTTGAACATGCCTGAACCTCGCTGATGCTGTATTCACTTTTTGAACCTTTTTCTTTCCTTTTCACAGTTGCCGGACAAGCAACCGGAAGAGCCTGATAGGCAATGGGCAGTCACCAGCGTTGCCTCGGCCGCACTCACCTCTCTCTGCTCATGCAGGTGAATGATTACCCTCTCTTGAGTGTTGTTATTGTTTGTTTCCAAAATAACACGTCCATTTTGAGATGAATGTACGTTTTCACATCTTATCGTGGTTTTCTTGTCACTAAGTTGTTCTTTCTGATGGGTTCAGTGACCCAAACCTTATCCTCTGTTTGAGTGACAAGACTCTGAAATACACAATTCTTTTTTATGTGGGATCCCTTTTCAGGTATTTCTTTCTCTATTTCTAAATTTGGGGCTGATGCTGGGCATAGTTTTCATGTTTAGAATGTGTTCTGGAAATGTGGATATGAGAACTCACAGGAAGAGGGTTAGTGTTAAGAACTATTCAGAATGTACCTCTCTAAAATGAAACTAGTGTAATCCTTTGTCACAGCTTTTGGAGGGATGAGGAAGATTCAAGAGATGAGGCCTTGGTCTCCAGTACTTTTGTAGAAGTATAAGGAAGTTAGAGTTGTACAAAAACTATACCATGGAGACTGCTTTCTATGTTATTGTTGTTTTCCTAATGCTCTATCTAAAGTGATGCAAAGAATGAAGGATTAATTCTAATCAGGAAAATCTGGGAGAGTGTAAAGGAGCTGTTTACCTACCTTTTTGGTAGGTAAAAAAGGAATGAAAGGGAATTCACAGTGTATGGCAGATGAAAAGGAAGAAGTTTTGAATTTCAGTGTCTTTTAAGGATTTTGAGGAGGATCTGTATTTTAGGAAGGCATCTTTAGGATTGCAGAAAATGATGGGCTCTAAGGATGAGTGATTAGCTACTTCCATGTACTCTTGTGAAAACTCTAAGATGCCACTGAGGTGCTCTTAGATGATCTTGATTGCACATCCTCAGAGGCAGCCCCTGAGCTCAAGCCAGCTCTCAAAGTCAGGCTGGGTATTGTCTATTACATGTTTGGGGAGAAGAAGGAAGAGAGAGGTCGTTGTTTCTTTGGAATAAAATTTTATTTTCTCTTAGTAATAAAATGAAAGCTGGTATAGCAAAAAAATGATAAACTGATAAAATTATGATGCCATAAAATGACCACTAACATCCCCAAAATGCCTTTCCCCTGGAGATCTTTAGAGATGCTCTCACACGTATGTTCTAGACCACTTACAGCAGTATCACGTGTAATAGTGAAACTTTGAAACAACCTAAGTATTCATTAGAAAACAGATAAACTGTGGCACAGTCATGCACAGAACACTGTGCACATTGAAAACAAGGAAACTAGCAGGGCACGCAATGTGCATGGATGCCAGTCAAAGATGATGCAGGGTGACAGCAGCAAGTCACAAATGAATATTGCATAAACCACGATGTTACATGCAAGATTTTGTTTAGGGATATACATATATATCCATTTACATATATATGTACCATATGTATATTTATAGTAATGGTTTATGTTTATGTGTGTTTATAATAATAGCCTACAGGAAAACATGGTGACTTTAAAGACTAATTTCATGAGAATAGTTACTTCTGAGAGAATGTGAGGGGGATATAATGGGGGGGGGTAAGCAGTGGTTATATTATGTTTCCAAAGCTGTATGGTGAGTATACAGTATTTATTGCACTTGAATGTTTATAGCAGCGCAACTCACCATCATAAAGATGTGGAAACAACCCAAGTGCCCTTCAACATGTGAATAGATTAATAAATTGTAGTATACAGATACCATGGAATACTGTTCAGCCGTAAAAAGATGGAGACTTTGTATCTTTTGTAACAACCTAGATGGATTTGGAAACCATTCTCCTAAAGGAAGTATCACAAGAATGGGAAAACAGGTACCACATGTACTTAGCACTAAATGAAACTAGTATAGATTATCAACAACATGTTTTATGAGAGAGAGATTCAATTAATTCAAGTAGGGAGGAGAAGGGGTAAGTCCTCACCCAAGAGGTGCATTTCCTGGGTGAAAGGCACACTACAACACGGACTTTAGCCTTACAAAATCAAAGGATGTAACCTAATCAGTTGTGTCCTCATTTTCATCTGAAAAGAAAAACATTCATTATGGGTAAATCAGTAGATAATGTATACTTTGTTAACACAAAATAAATTATATGTTTTTCTAACAAAAAATAAACAACTCAATATCAAAACTCCCAAAACAAAGAAGTATACACTATATTATTATCATTGATTTTTTGAGATATGATTACATCATTATCATAATAGTAAAACCCTACAGAGGGCCAAGCAGGCCCAATCACCTCACTTGGGGTCTGGAGTTCTGTCTTTCCCTTCCTCTAGCACCTGCTGTGATGCCGGGTGGTATGCACTAGATGCTAGTGAATTTTGAACTCTGCTTTTTACGTGTAATTCAATAGTGATTACAAATTTAATCTCACTCCTCTTCGTCGTGTTTGTAGTAATTTCACTTCTGTTCACGTGTCTGCTGGTGAATCTTTTACTGCTGTGATTTTCCTTGTTCTCATATGGAGAAGAGAGCAAATGTGGTTAAGACACCACTGATCCTTTTCATTATTTTTCTTCTCTCTAATCGACTTAGCTTAAATTCTTTTCCCTCCAACATTAGGTTAGTATTTAATCAGAGGAGTGGGCAGAGAACAAGCCTGAGAGTATTTTTATTATGTTATGGAGCCCACAGATTGTTACTGACTAGAGGGAGTAAAGACGTGTGACACTTTTTGTGAAAAGTTGCATTTATCATAGTCTGGTAGGTCCTATTTCTATATGAAAGAAATAGAAGATGTGAATTAAGGGCCAGTCCTCGTGTTGTGCTAATGTGCTTCCTCATTCACCGTGCCTTCTGTCTCTTCCTTTCTATTGCTACATTCTCTATCCTGTGTTTGATGCACAGAATTCCTAGAAGTGTCCATGAAAACAAGAGACAGAAAAAATTACCCTTTCCATGCTTAGTAACCTAAGAGTTAAAGTTTCACCTTCAATTTTTCTAAGATAGAGATTATATGAACCCGGCCACTCATCCCTGACACGGGTCCCCATGAAATGCGTTAGTGGAGATGAGGACATTAATCCATTTGGGTGGGTGTGTCACTGGTGCTCTGCAGAAGAAAGACATACTGGCATCCCTAGTTCCCTGGAGCATGTGTTCACTAGCAAAGTAGTATTTGTGGGGAGCCAAGGATTCCTAAAAGAGCCCCAAATGGGACAGTTCCATTTTAAAAAAAGAAAATATGCCTGAGAGTCACAGAAAATCACAGGTTCCTAGTTTCGGAAAGATTCTAAGCATGAAAAAGAATTCAGAAGTCCCAAAGGAAAAGACTAGTGTATCTCTCCTAAAGTGAAAATTTCAGTATAATACATAAAAGCAAAACAAATCAAAGTGTGAAAAAATATTTTTGTCTCCATAACTGTTAGCTCATGTAATTTCCTTACTATGCAAAGAGCTTGTGTAAGTTGATATGAAGGGGTGAATGTACCAATAGAAAAATGGACAAAACATATAACTAGCAGGTTGTAGGAAAAAAATGGCTGGTAGGAACTAGGGAAATGATGCATCTTTGCAATAATAAAAGAATTGTGAACCACGATAATGAGATGGTACCCTTCTCATAGCGTAGTGCCAAAATAATTTTTCAACTTATAAAATCCAACAATTGTAAAGATGTGAGGAAGCAGCCCCCTCCCCCATAATGTTAAAGTGTCAGTGTGAATAAGTACAAACCATTCTCATTACCAGTTTGCATTATTGGCTAAGATTTCAAGTACATTTACCCTTTGGCCCAGAAAATCCATATAAACTAATTCATTTTACTGATAGTCTCATAGAATCATATAAAAATCATAAGTATAGCATGGCTAGTAACTAGCAAATGGAAAGGTTAAGTTGTTGCTGGTTTTCTGTTTAACTTACCCTTGAATAATGGACTGGTTAGGTAAATAATGATTTGGGTACATGATCTGGCACTGCATTGTGGTTATAAAGAATGAGGCAGGCTTTTTTGTGCTGGTATTGGAAAGAAGCTTGAGATAGATTAACTGAAAACATGTATATTGTAATTGTGTGTATGTGTGTGTAGTCTTTCAGAGTATATGTACACACTTGTGTATTTGGGCATATTTATAGGGAATTTGTGGAAAAAGAAAGGGAAACTGTTAACTGTGTTTGTCTCTGGGGAATAAAAAGATGGGGAACTTAGCATATAGTGTTTTTATAATAAAAATAAGGCTCTAAAAATAAAGCCAAAAAGAAAACAACATCACATGTGCAGTAGTTTTCTACAGCTGAGCAATGTAGCGGCTTACACAACAGGCATTCACTAATCTTGTAGTTCTGTAGGGCATAAGTCTGGGCGGGTTAGCCTGGGCTTTCTGCTCAGATACGTAAGGCCAAAATCAGGGTGTTGGTTGGGGTGGGCCAGGCTTTTATCTGAAGGCTGAGAAAAAATCTACTTCCAAGCCCATGCAGGTGTGGACGGATTCAGGTCCCTCCCTTTGCAAGACTGAGGTCCCTGTTTTCACCCTGGCTATCAGCTTCTAGAGAGGCTGCCCCCGTCATCTAACCAGCAATGGTACACAAAGTCATTTTCATGCTTTGAGTCTCTGACTTGTCCTCCTTCCATCAGCCAGAAAAAACTTTCTTTTGAAGGGCTCCTTGGATTGGGTCAGGCCTACTCAGATAATCTCTGTATTTTAAGGTCCTGACTTGGGGCTTCAATTACAAATGAAAAACTCCTTCACAGTAGTACCTAGAATTGTAATTGAATAATTAGAGAATCAGAATCTTGGTGAGACGTTTAGAGTTTTCCTACAATGTCACCTGCATGTTGTGTTTGGATTCACATGGGTGAAGGTAGGAGCCCTAAGAGTTGATACTTACCAAGTAGAGTCACAGAGGAGAAGGAGGTAAGCAACTGAGACCCAGTGTCCCCAGGCTTTCAAAGTCCTAAGGTACTGGTCAAAACAGCTATGTTTTTGTGTCTTCAGAATTCGTTTTACTGGAAATTTTTAGGTGAGTACTTTGATTCTTTTTTTTTTTTTTTTTTAATAGAGACAGAGTCTCACTTTAAC